TGAAACTGTGCAGCTCAAACACTATACTTTTCCGCTCACACTGAAAAAAAAATTAGAGGGAACATTGGTGGCCAACCAGCCTCTCTGCGCTCTGCTTGGAGTCGGAACCCTGTCCAGGGTCCTCCACATCCTCCAGAGTCAACTCATAGGACCTCTCGCTGTCGGAGTCTGGTGGCAGCTCCAACAGCTCCTGCTGGGCCACAACAATTGGCATATTCCTTCTACATTATATCACTTTAATAATACTTCAATAGCCATATTTACAAATTATACTGGTTCCAAGTTGATCTCCAGCTTTTAGGGGTAAACCAGTGGTGGGATTCAGCCAGTTCACACCCCTTCAGGAGAACCGGTTGTTAACTTTCTAAGCAGTTTGGTGGCATTTTAAATAAAAGTTATCATCCCATGCTTTTAACTCTCAAAAGTGTTGCCAAGTATTAATGTAAAGGGGAAATTCATCCAGAAAAGGAACCATCACATCCCCATCAGATCCTGAATGGGACATGATAAGCACATTGCCGTATTTCTGATGGTGTTAATAAATATTTGTAGCAAATATCCTCTTACAATAAGTAAAAGTGATAACCAAATACATAGAGTAATTTCAAATTGAATAAACTGGCTATGGAGATCCGTTCAAAATAAATCATTTTTTACTGAGAAAAGTTACTAGTTTACTGTCCCATTTCTCAAGTACAGTAACTCCTATATATTATTGTCTGATTCTGCAACTAAGCAATGGATGTGAAAAATCTGAGATCCAGCTATGATGGAAATTTTTAAGGTAATTTGTTTAAGGTCACTGACAAGAATAAATGATTGCATTTTTCTTCTGCATTGTCAGCTTATTCAATATTGCTTTAAATATAGCCAAAGTTCAATCTGGCTCAAAAACTCAGAGAAAGTTTTGGCTTCACCAAGAATGCTTTTGAACTAGAAATGTTTTTATGAATCCTGAATCATAAAAACTGGTATTTATTCTGCAAACAGAGCAAAACATCTTTAGTGATATATTCTGGGTTATTAAAAGTTAAGCCCATACTTAGTGCTGATACTGAGAAAATGTTTTAAACCAGTTTTTCTGCCTATTACATACTAAGATTAGAAAAATAAAACAACCACATTTGTGAAATAACAAGATTATTCTCCATACTATATTTCATCTGGATTGTAACAATAATTTCCAAAAACTAATTATAATTAAATAATCATATTGTGGCTTTATATGACTTTTTCCATCTAGCACAAGTCAAATTATATTTTGTTAATGGCTATTTAGTTGGGTTTTTAATCTACCTTCTACTTGCAATGGTTCTGCAAATTTGGAAAAATATTTGGAAGAGATCTTGAGAATCATATATACATTTTAAGTTTATTATTTTTAAAACGCATTAATTCTTCACTCTTTGCAAAGTGCTTTCCCCAAGCCACATGAGTGCTCAAAATTTTGACTTAGATGTGTTCTTCAATTTTTTATGAGAAGTATTTGTAATACTTTTTTCTATACTAGTCAATATGACAACTTGTGAAACTTCCACAACCTGCTCCCGAGTTGCCTTAGGCAGAGGGATGGGGAATCGAGCTTCGTAGCTGCATTGGGAAATTTGCACCTCACTTAAAACAACGCACATCCTAACTGGCCAAAGTCAAGGCCATTTCCACAGAAACCAGTAATGGCTGGAGGGAATGACTTCTACGATGTGCAAAATTGCTTCATTGGGGAATATGACTAATGACACACCTTGGGGAGGAGAGAGAAACAGGTTCATAGGCAAGGCACGAACTGAGTGGGTCAGATCTGTCTTCACTAGGTCCATGCTGACATGGCACTCCTAATAAACAACTGGATTTTTCTTGAAAACTGGCTTGAGGGTCCTGCTTTTATTAGGGCATCAGTTGGAGCCCTGACACAATATGCTTTTCCTTATTTGTAATGCAAACACCAGCATAAAGAAATTTCAAAGAAATTTTACTTAGTAATATGTTTCTCGGTATTCAGTGGCATTTATTCTCCAATAAATATGCTTATTTTCTTATTCAAGTATTATCCATAAAGTTTCAATTTATCAGGTAGATTCACATAAACAATTAATTACAAATATATATTATATTTTGTCATCATACAGACGAGGATCCAATGTCTCACTCACCTTAGATATGAGCATCTTAGGATGTGCCGAACCTTTAATAGCTGTGCCAACTCCAAGGGAAAAAGTAGCACTGGAGTATCTACAGTCAGCTAGCAGAATTTTGACCAAAGACCAATTAAAAGATGTAGTTTCAAGTTCTCATTTACTTCAGACAGAATTCATGGTAAGTCTTTAATACTGCTTTGTTGTTTTAAAACTAAAAACTTGTAACTTTCTGTGGTCTTCAGAATGATATACCTCTGGCATTTTTACTGTACCACCTAATCCCTTGCTTGAGCAAAGGCAATGGCAGGGTTATAAACTGGAGATGCCCAACCAGACTTCTAAAATTGTGCTGCTTCAGTACTCATATAAAAATGTAAAAGATTTAAGGATTTGGAACAAAGATGTCCTTGCATGATTTCATGACACTGAGCCGAGGTGGCGCAGTGGTTAGGGTGCAGTACTGCAGGCCACTTCAGCTGACTGTTATCTGCAGTTCAGCGGTTCTAATCTCACCGGCNGATTCGGATTTATTGGATCTCCATAAGTGCTCTAGGCGTCTCTTCCGTCTCTTATAGAAACTCTTAAGTTTCTATAAGTCTTCTTCTTGCTGATTACATACCTAGAATGATGCTAGGTTCTATGATTGCCTGAATAGTCGGAAGCACATTATTTGAATACAACGTTCTCTTGTTGCATGTATGTTAATTTTCTCAACATTTTGGAATAATACTTTTTGTATTTTCCTCCAATGTTATGGTAACATTGGGATATGATTCCACATTGCCAAAACGTTTGCATCTTTGGTTCTGCTGCTTTAGTGTCTTTTCAGATAGGTTTGTACCCACTGTGGTTGGCACAAGCAATTTTTAAAATGTGTATATATAATATTTAATGTAGCTAAACTATAGCATGTGCATGTACTTCCATATTTTTTTCAAAAGGTAATCTGAGGAGGAGCCTACATACCATTGCTACATGCAAATGAATTTTTGTCCTCTGTAATGGAAAGGCAAGTAGTTGCTGGTTAATTAATGACTTCCTTCCATCTCTCTCCTGTGACACTATACAACAAAGAACTCCAGTCATGAAATCTCATTTCAGGAATGTATATAGTGGAATGCAGAAGCCTCTTTACCTTCAGTTACAAAGAAACAAGGCAGAAATAATGGATGAAGGAAGGGAGAAACTCAATCAGATATGCATAATTCTTTGCCCTGTCCAGAAAATGAATGAAATCAGGATGGGTATTGCAATGCTGAACATGAAATTCAGAGTCTGGTGTTAAAGAATGCAGAAACTACTGGTTAAAAGAATCACCAAAAGTGATGAGAGAACTCATTTTAAGGGAAAGGCAGGAAATGACTACTTCAGTGATTTATGGGCTTTGTCAGATTGGTTGACATAAAATGAATGGGTGGAGCTTCCTGATGAGATTTTCCAGTTAAATTTCATGACCTTCTTCATTTTCTAAAAATTGACATCCTCTAAAATTGCCCAAATCTCTAGCATGAATTAGGCAGTTTGGAAACCAGCACCATAAAGCCTATTGTTGAAATATGTAAAATTAAATAAGTAAGAGTAACTTAATATTGATTCATATTACTTCATAAACACAGAATATGGCATAGGGAAAGAATATTTGGTTCTTATGATGGGCTGTAAGTATCATCTCATTCACATTAAAACTTTTCCCAGTGAAAAGAGTATTGAAGGTTGATGTTCCTGAACAACCGTGTTGAACCTGGAAAAATATTGAGCAATTATTACTCAAGTATTCTTTATGATTATAACAGAAAGGAAATTTACAGGAAATATATTATAAACCTAGAACTAGCTAGCTGCTTCTTACCAGACAGAGTCCCAAAGCAAACATTTTCTGTGTGTTTGTGTCTGCATGCTTTGAAGAAAGGCAGAAATGTTTTGCATAAAAAGCAGGCAGACATATAGACAAAAAGAGGGAAGGAGTAAATCCATAATTCTGTATTATCACTCTACTGTCTCCTTGTGTTCAGGAGATACTAATGAGTCAGTGCCATTGGATTAAGAACTCCAAAAATGGATAGAAGATTGTTGTTCAATTTTCTTTCCTTCACCCTTTTTCTACTTCTATAAATGCACAATGATAATTTAATTAAATAGCAGGCATTTATTTTTTCACTAAAATCTCTCTTTAATTCTACTCCCACTTATTTTAGAATATGAATTCCTAAATTCATGTAGAATGTTGTCTTTCAGCCTATGCAAGTGAACCCATAATTAAGGCCAGGTGCTTGTGTTTATGTCACAGGGAAAGGGGGGGGGGTAAATAAAAATAGACATCAGAACTTTAAATAGATAGGATAATCATAATTATGCAATCTAGTTAACGTTGTTACAGTTATGATCTAATCTAAGTATGCTTTCCAGATTTTCTGTATAGGCATCTCCATATACAAATTTGGCAGGGAGGTTGCCAGACCACTGAAAATGTCGTCCTGCTGTTATCCAAGAAACAGTGATAAATATCAATTATCCATTAGAGTCAGCAAATAAATGAATGTATTCATTGGCTATACCTGAGCAACTGCTTGCTGCAATTTGCAGAACCAGATTATCTTTCAACACTTGCTATTTCCTTAAGGATGGAGGCCTTAAAGATCTGGCTCCTTTAAGTCATATTTCTAATATTGTATACTGACAGGGTATCATAGTGTATGTGTGGTGGGGAGTGTCTTGATTACTTTTTCTAGGTCAGTGAGATTCAGTCTCAATACACCTTATAAAACATTATTGGAAGCTTTGATTCATAAATGTGATCCTTACTTCTTATATGAAATAGCCTTTGGAAGCATTATTTGCTACAATTCTATTTTTATAATTAATCCCTACCAGTTAATTTTCTGTTTCTTTCATACATTTCTATAAAGTATTTTACTGTGCTTTTGTCTGATGACTATATCTTTGGATCAGTGGTGGGATTCAAATAATTTAACAAGCGGTTCTCTGCCATAATGACCAGCTGGGTAGGCATAGCTTGGTGGTCATGTGACAATGTGGTTGTGGCCAACTCACGTCAATGGGCGCTTCGCCTTAGCTGTTACAATGTAATAAGGGTTAAC